CTCAAACCCCTAGCTTGAAGATTCAAATGAATTGTAAAAAGCAATAAATGCTCCCCCAACTCCCAGCCGCCTCCCACATACATTTTTTTTTAAGTCATAATCTTAATCAGCTAATCGTTTGATGTCTGGGGAAAAAGAAAACTACTAAAATTGTCCCAAGAAATACTCCCTCAATTCCCACACCATGTTGGGTGAATGCCGTAAAAATATACAAGCAACACCTCATTCACACCCTAAAAACTATTTCAAAGTTCCCTCCCCCCTCTCTCTCTCTCTCTCTCTCTCTCTCTCTCTCTCTTTCTAACAGACTACAACGGTCCAATAAATGATGATGTAAAGTGTTCATTTATTATCGTTGAATAATAAATTCATATTATTAATTTTGCTTAAAAAAAAAAAAAAAAAAAAAAAAAAAATATTATTAATTTTGCTCTCTCTCTCTCTCTCTCTGAGTTTGGAAGGTGAACCAGAAGGCTCGACGAGCGGCTCGAACTCGTTTACAATGGAACGAGTCAAGCTCGAGCTCAACTTTTAAGCTCGAGCTCGAGCTTGGTATTTGACTGTTGAGCTCGACTCGAACACCCCCTGACTCGAGCTCGACTCAACTCGTTGGCACCCCTAGGTTGTGGTTCGGTGATGGTCGAGTGAAAGTCCAGTGTACGGACGGTGGTTCAACGACGGTCGGTGGCAGAGCGGTGGTCCGGTGGCCGGGTGCTAGTGTGAGACCTCGTTCCCTTACTGTTCCACACAAGCATGGGGACGCCGGATTTTTTTTCATGGAAAAACCTAAAAGGGAAAAACTACGGTCCATGGGGCCTCACCCAGTTAAAATGATTTCAGTACTATTGTTTAAATGAAATACAGAGATTGGTATGTTTCCAAACTCAAATACAAAGATAACACAATATATTGAAGATTTTGCCAAACACCAATGATCTTGAATGGATGGCGGACGAACGTGTCCAACTCATGTATGTATTATATTTTTCAATTTTTATACGCTATTTTTAAAATATAAAAATTATAATATTGTGTCCAACCCATGTCTGTATTCTATATTTTCAATAATTGATGTGTCCGTGTCGTGTCGTATCCGTATCTTTATGTCCATGTTTGTGCATCATAGGCCTATAGAAAATCAGAACTCAAATCTTAAAGTCTTCGGTAAGAGGGCAAAATCTCTGGGTAGTATAATATCTGTATCTAATATGTCTTCTGAAATTTTCCCCTAGAACATAGTCGGTTAAAACTCTCCCCGAGCATATGCGGAGAAGCTGGAGCACTGAAAGCTCAAATTTTCAGAGCCAACAACTTTGCTTGCAAATATTATAAACATATTAATAGTAATTGTTAAAATAAATTTTGCAATTATTATCGGAAGTCTTGACACACAATTAAGGAATAACCAAAATATCCTCATAATTAACAACTAAATTTAAAAAAAATAATAACCATTAATAAATAGTTAATCTGCCTTAATTAGCCTAATAGTCCCAAAAAAATCCTAAGATTACACTTAAACTTGTTAAACAATTTTTTTTGGGTTAAAATTCACACAATGGGGCTTACATGCATGGTAAATAAAAATGACGATTACAAATCCTTAATAGATCAACAATCCTCTTATAAAAATACACAATTTGAAACAAAACCTACGAGCCATCGACCCAATCTATTACAAGAGAATCAAAGAAAAAAAGCTAAACAATAGAGAAGAAATAACACTAATAAAGTAGAAGAAAGGCCAACAAAAATTAAAACAAACGGAGAAACTGAAAGAGAGCAATCAGCCAATGAAGACAACCAGGCAGACATCACAAGTTCCACGATAAGCAATAGATCAACATAAAGGAACCTGCAAGAAAGGACAATGCAACTACCCAGAAGAAGAGATAGAAAACCGAGCATGATAAGAGAGAAAAATAAATAAAAACCCCAACAACAAACCCCTAAACCAGCACCCATTACATACAAAAGCCAAGAACCACCTCCACAACCAACATTACGGCAGGACCTCCAACAAAACAGCCCAAACGACAGTGAACTGGAAAACACACAACCATAGTAAATAAACCAAAACTCAAGTCAAAGTAAAAAAAATAAAGAACTATTTCCTTTTAATCTTCCTTCTACGACGTTTGCCTCTGCCCTTGCTAAAAGCTTTTTTCAACAATATGTTTAACATTCAAATTGCACAATGCCTGAGCATCCTCATTCGGCCCAAAAATTTTTTTCCCTAGAACCCCCATAGGGTGGGGAGAGAGACTCCTCGAACTAGTCATTTTGATCCGAATTAATTGCCAATTGATCTTTCAAAATCTCATTTGAAATAAATCAAACAGGGACATAAAAAATATTCTTGTTTGATGGTTCAGACATAGTCATAGGAGAGTCGATAGAAATAGCCACAGGAGCAGAGGAATTAAACATATCCCCAACCGCAACACCAACCAAAGGGCTCAAAATAGCAGATGCACGAACACTAGGAGAAATAATAGGAGTAGCAATAGAATTAACCATACATATAATTAATAGCTTCCCTAGCCTCAATAACATTTCCAGACGAAGCCAAAGACGGAAAAGCCTCTACAACAAAAATAGGTTTAGTTTCAACACTATTAGGGCCATCAAGCACCCCAAAGAGAGCATCAGTAGAACCATGCGCCCTAATATTATCCAAAGAATCAACATTAGCTACAGCATTCTCCTAAGCAATAACCATAAGGTTTGTCTCACAATTATCCTCACTAATCAACTCATGAATAACATGCACAACATTTAAGGAAGATAAATATTATCCAAAGTATCACCATTAACAAAAGCATTCTCCTTAGAAATATCATTAATATTAACTGGGTTACCAGCATTATAACATCATTCATCTGGATAGAGGAGGTAATAGGATGACAATCACTCTTGACATGTCCAATACTTTTACATGTCGCATAGAAAGGAGAAAATTCTTCCATGATAACATGCTTAATATAACCTAATTTTTCAGAACTTAAGGAAAACTTTTAGTGATGTCTAGTTCAACCAAAACATAAGCAAGAGAAGGGCGGGAGCCAATACAGGTCGCATTATCCACTTTTAACAGACGACCAAAAATCGAACCAAAACTATGGAGGATACTGGGAGAGTATAGGTGAGGGCACAGTTAGGGAATGAGATCCATGTAGAAATCACAGGGGACTCCACGCCAATGTCAAGCAGGGGCAACCATTTGATCAATTTCATATAATAGTTGTTAACAATGTAAGATCTATGACAAAAAAACCCTACTATAATCCAAGTCATTCACCAACTTAATCAAAATGTGCGAAAAATCCAATAAAGTAACGGAGAAATCACTAATAAGCTTCTGATTACACAAAAACCTACGAGAGGGAAAGAATCCAACTAACGCAAAAATGCAAAGGGGCCGCAAGGGCAAGGATTTCTTCCTCGAAATCTATAGAGATGGTAAGCCATTGAAAGAGGTAGGTTTCAGATCAGGAAACCTCACATCAAGGGAAGAGCCATCAAGAGCATCACAGAAAGACTGCGACCTGATCGAACCATCCAAAAATTCAAAATCGACCAAGCGATTCACCACCATACCAGCCAGAACGGCCAGTGGTGGACGAATAAAAAGAAACAGGAAAGCAGAAAGCACCACAAAAGAAAAAGGGGGAAATAGAAGACTTCCCTGAGCCGGCGGGAAGAGCCACCAACAGCGTCGAGGAGGCGCCAGGGAAAATTTTGGTGTTGTTTGATTCGTATAATTGAGATGTTCAATTTGACTGAGTTTGCTGAAATTGGACGTAAGATATCCCAAATTTAATTTTAAAAGTTTTCAACTTGCATATGCCTTGGGATTCGTGCCCAATCAAGGCAATTTTTAGTGACTACTTTTATCTAAGCACACTTAACTGTAGAGTTATGCTTCGATTCAATGCATATATCAAGTATATCGTGTTGATAGCATTAGGTTTCTGAAGAAAGTTAAAATAGTATGAATGAATTCTTATCAAGTCAACTTTAAAAAACATAGCGTTCATGTATATCGTATCCCAACCGGTCTGTAAGTCAACCGAAAGCATAAACACATATGAGAATCATCTTAATAAGACACAATGAAGGAAAAAAAAAAAATTTCCCATAGTAAACCCCACATAGTAGGATAAAAGTTTGATATTATTTTTTATTTTTGTTATTTGTGTTTGAACATGTCTTAGCTCGAATTGAACTTATTTTGTAAAATAATTTTTTTAATGAGCTAAACATGATCAAATTTTTTTTATCATATTCATTTTTATATTAGTTCAAAAATATTTACATATAAAATATACCTAATGGCATATATATCTTAGAATTAATATATTGCTTTCAACTACACCATGCTTGATTAATTAATAAGTCAAATATAGACATAAATTTTAACTGATATATTTAATGAGCAAAAATAAAAACACAAGCAATAGGAATCTTGTGTTTTTAATCTTGCTTTCTAAAATAGTTTTTTAGTACAAAAATTTCTTGAATTCAAATTTTTTGCATAAAAAAGCGTTTTAAAAAGCAATACGAAAGCTATCCCAAATAAAACCTAATTGTTAATTACCTTCAAGTCAATAGCATATAAATAGGAATCTTGCTATACTAGTAGAAGATTATATATATGTTAGATGAGCCAAGTCCTATAAAAATTTTATTCTCTTGTTAACCTATTAGCATATTAATAAGATTAAGTAATAATTTATAATCTTGAGTGCATATTATTTAATTAATAATTATAATTTTGATTAAGTTAAACAGATTAATAAGGCATAGGCTACAAAAATTATAGATTGATTATCCTAAATAACCACTAATTGTGCAATAATTATGCCATTAAGTTAATTAGTGCTTAATCATGATCTGAGTAGGCTATGTAAAAATTAATTAAAGGGGTGATCAAATATCACTGATCAGATACATTTTGAATTTAATATAGCAAAATATAATAAAAGCATGGTGTGATAGAAGGAGAAAATAATAAGCCAAGCTCATATTTACAACAGATAATATATATGTATGTGACATTGACCAACTAAGAACACAGTCTATGGCAATCAGAATCCTCAAAAACATCTGGATAATAAAACCCTACAGAAAAATCAGTAACTAGCAACTGGAACAAGAAATTTCATCCCTGCTTATGTGAGGAAAATGACTATTCATTTACACCAAATACCTTAAAACATAAAACCATGTAAGAGGAACACATTTCATAGCTCAGGATAAAGCTCTCATCAATATGAACCGTTTGTAAAACACTCTTGTCCTAAGGAATAACGCCGTCGAAACGGCGAATCCGATCGTTGTAACGGACGCCATTATAAGAAAAGATAGCATAAAACAGTGTGTACCTTTGCAGACTTCCATTCCAGATGATGTTTCTATATCATATATGTACCCAACCACCCTTACAGAAAGGAAGTAAGACCCAACTGGACTTGCAATGGCTACTGTGTTAAAAATAGTTCCAAAATGCCTTATACCAAACAATTCTGAAGTGATTGTGGGCATCAGTGACCACTGAGAACCATAGCAGACTCCTATGAGTATTGAACCCAAATGCAATGAGCCTGGAAAACCAGAGGAGATGATGACATGACCAATGGTCATAAGAGCGAGGGTTAAGGCGATGAAAAACGGCCTCGCACAGCCCTTCTCGTGAAGAAAGTAATCCGAGATATAGCCGGCGCCGAATCGACCGAGAAAATTCCATATGCTCCATAGAGAAACCAAAGTGCTTGTTTCCGTGCTTGTGTAGCCAAGAGAACTTCCTATTTGACTGATGTTGTTCACAGTTGCCAGACCAGAACCCATTGCACAGGCCATGACTAGAAAAAGCAGCCAGAATTCAGATGTTCTCATTGCTTGAAATAGATTCATGTTTTCAACTCTTGGAAGAAATCCTTGATCTCGGTTGCTCTTCTGTTCCTCATTTTCTGGTGGATTTATATCTTCTATCAATCTGATTTCATCATGATAAGCTGATCTGCTTCTGGATTCTGTTAATTGAGCTTTGAATACTACGAATAATGGAGATATGAGAAGTAGCAGCAGCAGTAAGAATATTAAGATGCGGATTGATAGTTGTAATGTGATGAAATGCTCTCCTATTATGACAATCATAAGATATGTAGCAACTGCTATAGAAATGAATGAAAAAACATTAAGATATCTGAGATTATCTCCCCCATTTGTATGGTGTATTTGAACAAAAAACATCAGCAGAAATGGAAGGAGCGTGGGTAACAGAGAAAGCATCAGGAGAAATGAGCTTGGGTTGCCATTAAATAATGTTCGGTATATTTGAATGAGTATAGCCCCACTGAGACCCAGAAAACCCTGAACCGAGAGAAATAGAAAACATCTATATGAGAAAAATCAACTCCATTAAAATTTTTTGAAGTCAAATTTCACTTAAAAAGAATAACAAAAGGAAAAAATAGACAGATAAATAGATAAAAGAAAAAGAACTAATTCTACTGTAATCTGATAAAATACATCTGATAAGACAAAAATAGCTTTGATGTACTCAACATCAGTAGATTAGCAGTACACTAATAACCTTTTCATGAATTGCTAAGTCAAACATCCATTAAAATAAAATGAAAACCTAGTGAAAAGAGAACAAGAGCTGCTTCTAATTTTCCATTCATCTTTAGTAATTTGAACAAGTGAATGTTGGCGTTTGTACATGGCATGTGCGA